CAGATTAAAGGAGCACTCCAGCTGGGTAAGTGTGCATCACTGCTGTAGCTTCTTATAAGAATATATATAATAGTTCCTATATATATATATATATATATATAATAGCAAGGTGATTGTATCATTGTATGTCTGTTGAATGAGGTTTAACTCTGTTCTGTCATACTTCTTTTAGATAACCAGAATTGTGTTAAAATTGAATTCTCACGAGATTGTGGATGATTATAAATTTTTGATTAGGATCAGTCATTAAATTTTAAATCAATTCTGTCTCTGGAATCGATTGTTTAATTAACACTATTCTGTATTTAATAATTTATTGTATAATATTGAATTGTAATTACGATTTAAGTTATAAAAAATTATTTTGTTTAAAAAAATTAGATTTGCCAAATTCTGATTTGAATCGAAAATCAACACGCGCCAGTCTTGTCTATCTGTGATAAACACTCGGCACAGACTCTCCGCGTGCACAACTATGAATCCAGTCTAATATCCAGTCTGTAAGTTAAGCAGCTGACTGCACGGTGCTGCCTCCTGGTTGCAGGAATGGTGGACATCGCACGGCAGACAGTCGAGTTCCTGTACGAGGAAAATGGCGGCATGCCTCGCGACCTTCACCTTCCCAACATCGATGACATCAAGGAGGAAGCTGCCAAGGTCACGGTCGATCGTGTTCACAAAGGTGCGCTAGGAGCAGGCCAGAGATAACACTCAATATTGTATAGTTGTTACTACTGTACTGTGTTATTATACTGTGCTAGTGCTACTACAGTTAAACGTATATATGAGGATTATTTAAGGGAAACCTTAAAAGTGACCGTTATTACCAGGCGACTGTTCTATACAGTCTGTTACACAGAGGTTAGTCTCATAATCATCGTCTTCATCATCGTCGTCGTCGTCTCCGCCGCCGTCATCGGCGTCGTCGTCATTGTCATCATTGTTTGTCGTCTTCATCATCGTCGTCGTCGTCTCCGCCGCCGTCATCGGCGTCGTTGTCATTGTCATCATTGTTTGTCGTCGTCATCATCGTCGTTGTCGTCTCCGCCGCCGTCATCGGCGTCGTTGTCATTGTCATCATTGTTTTCCCTCGTCATCATCGTCGTTGTCGTCTCCGCCGCCGTCATCGGCGTCGTTGTCATTGTCATCATTGTTTG